CTGAGTTTTCTTCTTCCACACTCCAGTTATTCGATAAAACTCTAATTTCAAATATTTAACCTGATACTTCACCCAAATCACGACCTTCAATAGACAAGTTCATGTAGAAAATTTCAGAATTTTTCGATGGAATACCTATGAGATATCAAGTTCTTACAATATAGACACTTTTCTATTAATGCTATATAAAGTGCAGAGACTTTGAAAACTTGATATTCCAGAGGTACTATATGGAAAAAATTCTGAAATTTAGTACACGAACTTCTCTATTTAATATCTTGACTTGGGCAAAGTTTCAGATCAAACATTTGACATTATGGTTGTATCTAAAAAAAAACTCGGGGTTCAATACAGAAAAATTCAATATGTTGTTCAAAACTTCATATATGAGCGAATCTTTTGGAATTTTTTAGAGTCAGATGTTCCTACAAATTTTTCAGAAGACTCATCTGAGAAATGCATAGTGTGCACTAGTCAAGAAATACAAAAAAAAGCAAGAAAAGTTTAAAAGTACGATTTGACTGTGTGAAAAATTTTTGAACCTGATGGATTTTCCATGTGAATGTCCTTCACTAAAAGTGTTATTTTCAGAAACCAGAAAAAGCAAAATTTCCTTACTGAAGTCAAAAATGGTAGCCGAAAGACTATATCTTCTATAAAGTTTTTATCATAAAAAGAAAACTTTGAGGTCTTCTCGATTATTAAGAAGAAAATTAGCTCGACTGATTAAAGCACACTAGATATACTGATTTTTTTCTATCGTCAAGTTATTTAAGGATTATCCAGCATATATATATATGTTCATTTAAAACAAATAGGTAATGGTAACATCCTACAGAAACAGCCATTTGGACTTGATAAAGTTTATGTAGCTATTTATGATTATGATGCACGTACAGATGAAGATCTTACATTTCGTGTTGGCGATTTACTTCTTATTCTTGATGACAGGTTTATTTAATTTTGTGAAGAAATTTCTTTTCATACATTTCTTTTTCAGTCAGAATGATTGGTGGCTTGCTAAACATTATAATAGTGGTTTAAAGGGATACATTCCAGCTCTTTATGTTGCACCACATGGTGGTCTTGATGTTAATGAGTAAAAATATATTTATTTTTAATTAAATATAAAAAAATTATATTCAAATATTTATTTAAGATGGTTTCATAAAAATGTTCTTCGAAAAGAAGCTGAACGTCTTTTATTAATACCATCAAATCCACGTGGAACATTTCTTGTTAGAAATTCAGAAAATGCTCCTGGTTAATTTTACATTTTAATTTAATTTTAATTTTAATTTTAATTTTTTGTTTTAGGTCCATATTCTTTATCTGTTCGTGATGCAGATGAACAACGTGGTCCACATGTAAAACATTATAAAATTCGATATCCCGATCCAAAAATCGGTTATTATATTGCTACACGTCGTACATTTAAAACATTGGAAGAATTAATTGAACACTATTCAAGTAAAATTCTTTTCCTTTTTTTATAAATCGAAAAAATAATTTTTTTTTTTTTATATTAGAAAATGCTGATGGTCTTTGTTGTCAATTAACACTTCCATGTTTAAGACCAAAACCAACAACATCAACTATATCTAAAGATGTTTGGGAAGTACCAAGAAATTCGTTACAATTTGTAAAAAAACTCGGTCAAGGAATGTTTGGTAAGACGAGATTTCTTCTTTTTTTTTTTCTTTTCTTATTTGTTTTTCTTTTATTTACGTTGAAATGGTTTCAGGTGAAGTATGGGCTGGAAAATGGAATAATAAAATTGATGTAGCGATAAAAACAATGAAAGCTGGTACAATGTCAACGCAAGCTTTTGTTGATGAAGCGAATATAATGAAAAAACTACGTCATGATAAACTTGTACAATTATTTGCTGTTTGTACAGAACCTGAAGATCAACCAATTTATATAGTTACTGAACTTATGTGCAATGGAAGTTTATTAGATTATCTTCGTGATGGATCCGGACGTGAACATAAATTACCTGCACTTGTTGATATGGCTGCACAGGTAAGAAATTATTTATTGCATTTGATAAAAGAAATGAATGATTGTTTGAATTCAAGATCGCTTTTGGTATGGCATATCTTGAACATGAACATTATGTAAGATTATATGATTAATTATTTAAAATGAATTTATATGTTTTGGTTTTGGTTTTTTTGTTCGATTAGATTCATCGAGATTTAGCAGCAAGAAATGTTCTTGTTGGAGAGAATGGAGTTGTTAAAATAGCTGATTTTGGTCTTGCTCGTATTATTAATGAAGATCAATATGTCGCTAAAGCAGGTTGGTTTTTTTTTATAGATTACAAAGATACTATATTTTATTTTTATTTCTATTTAACATAATCGAATCGAATAGAAAACAAGGAGGTTTAAAGGTCCCATCGCTTTTATGAATTTTAACATGAAAATTTTTTCGATTTTCGGTATAGCTTCAAAGTATCCCCCTGCCAAATAGCATATGAATAAGAACTCTTCGTTGTTAGTTCGATTTTTACTAAGTCCAATTCTCGAAAAAATTTCAGCTGCGATTATTCTACATGTTTCAAATTTTTCTAATGATAATGATTATGCTTCTTTTCAAAGGTGCTGAGAGAAGAGATTATGGACATCTGACCATCTCTGAATACGACCAGTTTTGCACCAATTTCGTTAGAGAAAAAAGTTTCAATACACAGGAAAGTTTGTGATGTATATTTCTTGAAATCAATTTTTCTATAAAAAAGTGCAGAATCGTCTTCAGTTTCTTCGACATAATACGTTTGATTGACTTGACACAATTCTTACCGGCACTGAACACTGTTTGAGGTGCATACCTTTTATTGTTTTGAAAAATATTGCATCGTTGATTTTTAACAGACTTTACAACAAAAAACATGTACATTAGAAGGTACGCTCAGTATTTCAATCTTTTTATTCTAATGAAAGGAGATAAAAGGAAACCAAAAATAGCATCCATCCCAAATGGTGTCTAGTATTTGCATAAGAAATTCTAGTTCTATTATACATATTACGGCTGAGAAACTGGGGCAAACTTCAATTTTTTGGATCCAGATATTTCCTTGAAAGAAGCATTTAAAATAGAGATCAATTGAAGAATATTATTTGTCATTATTAAAAAACTGGAATTCATTGTTTTTGAGAAAGAAAAACTCAAAGACTATTCTATTTTTTGAATTTTGTAATTTGAAGATACACTTTTAAGCAAACAGATTATCTAACCAGAGGAATCCTTCGATGTGTAAAATCGCTTTTGGACCGAGTCTATATTCATTCGATAAATCCTATTGATCTTTAAAAAAGTCTTTAATGAATTGATTGTCCAAAACTTCGTTTCTGAGATATCGTATGTTTACTATGTTTTTTTAGCAAAACTCCATAGTTCAACGGGAAAATCAATGTTCGAATCTAAATTCGAAATGAATTTGAAGGAAGTCATTGTATTTCGCTAAAAAGCAAAGTAAAATGTCTCAGAAGCAAAGGTTTGGAGAACCAAGTGATTGTTACAGACTTTTTCATTGTTCACCAGGACCTATCGAATGAACATAGTTCCGATCCAAAAGCAATTTTACACTTCAAAGAGTTTTCCCATAAGATTCATTTCATTCTCATTTAATTTGCGTCTTATTTTAGCGAATTTCCAATAGACGGTCGGGAACTCAGTAAATTATATTTAGTGCGGCAAAAAAGCTTTTTGTAATGTTTTGCAAAGCTAAAGTAATTTGATAAATATAATCTTGACAGTTCTAATCATTTAAGAGAGAGTATAGCAAATGAGAATAATTTGGCAAAAGTTCTGTTCATACTAACTTCCTAACATTGTAAATAGACTCGAACAGAATAATATTTAATAACGATCATGAGATTTTTTTGTAAACTATTTGTCTTGGTTTATCATTCAAAATGATTAACTTACTTAGGGCTTTATTTATAAAAGAAAATAAAGGATGCAAGTGAAAGCATATATTAATGAGTTAGTTCAGCATTTGACATATTTCTGACAAGTATTCAAATGAACAATATAATTACCTGAATGATTTCGATTATTTGGTAGAAAAAAAAGCTTGTTTCTGAAATTATTTTCCGTTTTTTTTATTTAAATATGAATCATTATCACATTTAATTTTTAGGAGCGAAATTTCCAATAAAATGGACTGCTCCTGAAGCAGCTATATATGGAAAATTTACAATAAAATCTGATGTATGGTCATATGGTATATTACTCTATGAACTTGTTACACATGGACAAGTGCCTTATCCTGGTATGAAGAAAATAACGTTAAATAGAACAAAGTTTTTTTTCTATTTGTTTTTGTTTTTAGGTATGGCTAATCGCGAAGTTCTTGATCAAATTCAACGTGGTTATCGAATGCCACGTCATGAAAATTGTCCGGAAAAAATTTATGATTATATGTTACGATGTTGGGATTCATCATCTGATAATCGTCCGACATTTGAAGTATATTTATTTATTTATTTCATTAATATTTATTTATAATTTATTTATATTTAGCATTTACATTTATTTTTTGATGATTATACGACATCAGCTGGTCCTCAATATCATAGCCAAAATTAATCAAAAAATAATTTTCGAGTTTCGTTTTCATTTCTCAGGATATTTCTTTTCCTTTTTTCTGTCTGTCTTCCACTAATAAGAATGACTCTAGAGAAATAAACAAGTGACTGTCTTATAGAAATATTTTATTTCGATTAGTTCAAATTCTGATGTATATTTACGGAATGCAACTTCTATCTTTGTCATTTTCTTCAATTAGCCAGATATAACTTTAATAACAAAAGCTTATTAATTATGACAAAATTTACATATGAAAATAGAATTTCGTGCATCTTTTCTTTTTTTTATTGTCCGTGGTATATTAATGTATAAATGAGTGATTTATTATTGTTGTTGTTTTTTTTCAAAAAATAAATAAATAAATAAATTTAGTAAGTGATGATCTTTTATTTTGTTTTCAGATGGCCACCACACCTATAACACAAGAAAAAGTTCATAAAGCTAAAATGTCTATTGAGAATTTTTATGCAAATTTAATTAATCAATATGAAGAAAGAGAAGAAAGGTAATATATTCAGTCTTTAACAAATAAATTTATGACTTTTTTTTGAATAGATATCGTCGACTAGAAGAAATGATGAATGCTGAAGGTTTATCTGATCAAGAAGTAAACTTTTAAAAAAATATATTGAATTATAATTTATATTTTTATGTTTTCTTCTTTTTTTTTGTAGAAACTTGAAAAACGTCATTTACATGCAGCAAAAGAAACCGAATATTTACGTTTAAAACGTGTTAAAATGAGTGCCGATGATTTCGAACCATTAAAAGTTATTGGACGTGGTGCTTTTGGAGAAGTAAATTAGTTTTTTTTTTTTTATAATTAATAATTTTAAAATTTAATTAAGGTTCGTCTGGTACAAAAACGTGATACAGGGCATATATATGCAATGAAAATTTTACGCAAAGAAGATATGTTATTACGTGAACAAGTAGCACATGTACGTGCTGAACGAGATGTACTTGTTGAAGCTGATCATACATGGACCGTTAAAATGTTCTATTCATTTCAAGATACAAGAAATTTATATTTAATTATGGAATTTCTTCCTGGTGGTTAGTTATTCATTCTTTTTTTTGGAAATGTTTGTTTTCATTATGAAAGGTTTCTATTTTAGGTGATCTGATGACATTATTAATTCAAAAAGAAACTTTTAGTGAAGAAATGGCACAATTTTATGTTACAGAAACAGCAGAGGCCATTGAATCTATTCATCGACTGGGATTTATTCATAGAGACATTAAACCAGATAATGTTTTACTCGATGCCAAAGTAAGTTGATAAAGGCTTTCGAGAATCTCTGAAAAAGATAGAATTTTGATTATTATGAATTTCTATTGAATAATGAATAGAAAAGTCATGTAAACAGTTGCATTATTTCTTAACTAATGAAATGAGACTTTGGCCCACAAACAGATAAAGAATTCAATTAGATAATGTTTTGATTTATTTAAAACAAAAATAAGGATTAGAAGTATTTTTATCTTTTTGTTAATATTATTCTTCATATTTTCTTTTTGCTCAGTACAAGATGTTTGTTTCGATTGTAACGATGAGGAGAGTAAGATGAACATTGAACTCTTTTTGTTGTCTATGGAGAATAAATATGGTTTAAATGTTTCTGTGAAGATTGGTAAAATTTATGATGTTAATGAATTAGAACTTTGTATCTACTCTAGATAAACACTTAGAAGAATTTATTACTGATCATCGAGTTGTTTAAGATAATACTGAAATGAAAGACAATGTGCTCCTCTAAAATTCGTCGATACCATGTCTAAAAGTTATAGTTATATGTTTTGAGGAAACGTTACCTAACAGACACAGTTAATAATAAACAGTAAGCGCTTACGACTACAGTCAAATATATCCGAGTCTATTTTCTAAACGTTTATTTTGAATTGGCAAAACAATAAAAAACATTGAAAGGAAAATTGAACAACAGTAGTGATGCTAAACAGTCAAATAGAATCTATGTAAAATCAAAGAAGTCATAGACAATTCTCAAAAATACCTATTCTATTTGAATATAAATATCTTGTAAAGTGTCAGCAATTTGAAGGACGACACCAACGTTTTGACTACAGAGCAGAAAATAGATAGGCTTCTACAGAAGGACTTCGTCTACCTAATGATGCATGTATTAATACATTATACTGCGTACAATTGACATATTGAATAGATGGCATCGCCTTCATTGCATTCTACCATGGCCGCGGCGAAGGTGGTGCCATTCAGTGATATATCAACAGTGCGCAATAGAGCTTGGTAATGCATGCTCGATTAGATAGACGAGGTCTTTTTTCTAGAAGTTTGTATATATTATTTTTTGCAATCAAAAAAAACTGATAATTGACTTTCAACAAATTTCTTTTTGGTGTTTGCATTTGTCATATTCGAACGGTGTTTTTATAGTTAAACTTAAAATCAGAAAAATCTATAAAAATTAAAATACGCCAAAAGTACCAAGTCTCAGTCGCCCTGATATATATCCAAATAATTGTTTTGATTTTATTCGTCACATAGTTAGAAAAAAAAATGATGCATGTTTTTTGAAAAATATCGTTTGATTGTTGAGAAAATCAATTTTTTCGATACGATAGTAAAAAAGCCATAAATATATTTTTGTATTCAATGATGTTGATAATGAGAATTTGGTATTCGAAAGAAACAAATATCATATTCAGAATCAGCGCAAAAATCTACATCGAATAGTATATAGAATACTCAAAGCTTATTTTCGATCTACGGAGAAGCACTGGTCAGCGTATTCGAAGACAACTGTAAGGACTGGAAGGGTCAAAATTCAACGAAAACTCGTTTTAAATATTCAGTATACTATTCGATGTAACTTTTTGCACTGATTCTGAATATAAATCGATATTTATGGTATGTTTTGTTATCATATCGAAAAACTCGATTTCATGAATAATCAAATAATATTTTTCAAAAAGTATGTAGCAGTTTTTTCCTAACTGTGCGACGAATACAATCCAAAGAAATATTTCGATAAATATTGAGACTACTTGGACATGGTGCCGTTGGAGAATTTCACCTTTTATAGGCTTTATTGATTGTTTTTAAACTTAATTTTCCTAACAAAGAAACTTCTCCAAATGATACCCGTCGTTGAAGCTCATATTGAACTCACAGGTAGGTCTGAGCGCCTAAGATCGATGGGAACGACCTTATTAAGCTTCTACCATTCTTACTAAGCCTTACCAGTGGGTTCAATATGAGCTCAAACGACAAGTGTCACTTGTGGTAGTTTCTTCGTAAGTCTAAATACAAAAATATCTTCTGAATAGTCAAAAACAATGTTTTAATAGATAAATCGACGAGCTCTATCCAACTATGACAAAAAAGCACCCACAAGCAGTTTCGCTCAATTTTCCAAATTTCGATACCTTAAAACGAATTTCTAGTAAAAAAGAAAAAGAAGCGAAATAATGACGATAGTTTTATAAATTCTTATAACATTTTTTTAATTTTTATTTTAGGGCCATGTAAAACTTTCAGACTTTGGTTTATGTACAGGTTTAAAAAAAG